TGTGTGTGTGTTGTAGGTGCCGAAACGCAAGATGACATATCGTGGACGTCGAGGCACAAGAAGCAGTGGCGGTGGTAATGGTAGGATTGAAATGGTGTGGTTGTAACAGCCTTGTAGAATCTGTGATGCGCGTAGACTTTGGCGGTGTGGCACAACAGAAGAGTTGCACACCAGGTAAGTCGAGTTAGCCGATGCGTTGGATGGTGTGGTGTTGTGGCTGGAAGATAAGCGTGCATGTTGGTGTAATTTTAGTAGATGCAGAGGCACCGACGAAGAAGCCGTGCCGCGAGTCTGAAGGTGACAAGGGCGAGCCAGGAGAAGGTATTGGCGTTGAAGAGGAAGGCGGTGGCGTAGGAGGAGGAGGTTAGTGAGTGGATGATTTAATGTGGTGTGCTGATTTGTGGTGAAGTGTTGCACACGAGGTAGACGGGTACCTTGTAGGGCGACGTGGTAGGCGAGGAGGTGTAGTTCTAGGTGGAGGGTGGGAGGAGGTCGGTTTGCGAAGTGTGCCAGCAGTTGTGCGAATGTGTGAAGTACAGTTTGACCTAGAGAAGTGGTGTTTGATTTGGCGATGGTTGCGCGTGTGTGCGTGAAAAGTGGAAATGGAGATGTAGAGTTCCTCGATGAATAGGGAACGTTTGGACGTCGTGTTGTTGTTAGTGTATGAGGGAAACCAGTTTGGTGGATGTGTTGGGATGGTTTGTTGGATAGGTGTGAATGGCCTAATTGGGGGTGTTTGTTAAGGTGCGCAATGATTTGGACTGTGGAGGAGGGAGGTAGAGTTGGATTGACTTTGTTGTGTTAACCTGCAGGTGCGGAAAAGGTTGGTTCACCATCGTCGGATGTTCCAGCTGGTGAAGGTGGAGCGAAAGTTGCTTCATTGAATGGCAGTCGGTCGGAAGCTGTCGGTAAGTTGTCTGTGTGTGTGTGTGTGCGGATGGTGGAGAGTTGAAGCTTGGTGTATTGGAAGTTGGCGGTGCAATCGTAGCCGCGTGCAGTGGTGTGGCGGGGTGACGTTGGTGAGTGAGAGTGTGAGTGTGGAGGATGCGTGTGGAGCGTGGTGTTGGAAGTAGGGGGCAAGTGGTTATTTGTGGTGTTGTGTCTACGTGAATGTTCTTC